CTTCGCTTAAATTCACTATTTGTGCGTCTGTATATGTGTCATAGGTGCTCATTTATGTTCATCCAACATCCGACACGTGTACATATGTGCGCACACATGCGCGCGTACGTGTAAGCAAGGCGCCGAGCGCGCTTATAAGATGCCGCGCGGTTCACGTCAACCGCGCTGGCAACGCTATTGGAATATATGTATATGTTATATTGTTGTTTTTGTTATTGTTATCATTCCATTTGTATATGTTATATGTTTTCATTAGACACGCAAGGACATTCGCATATGAATCGTGTACACGCGCGTACATCTGTACATAGTATGTTGTGTTGTGAGCGCGCGCGTTCGCCCCTACAAAATTAACCAGTAAGCTGGCGCAATCGTCATTTAACATATACCTTCAGCGCTTGACACGCTCGTACGTTGACATATAATTTACATCGGGTGTCGGGTTGCGCGGTCGTACGTGTCGCTCTGTGTGGTGTATTAATGGCAGTGTGTGGTGTATTTTATTTATTTTTTAACCCACCTCGTTGTTGTTGCTGTTTGTGATTATAGTGCGGCATATACTTTCTGCGCCGCAAGTGTTGCTGAGCATTTATTATTGTTGCTGTTGTTGTTTATGAGCCACATAGATAAGCAAAATGTATATGAGACAACATGTGTCCATCCGCATGCATGCATGTATGTATTGTATATGTGTACGACACATGCGCGTTCGCGCGCCCATAATCGCGCAACACATGCAGCGCCTGCCAGCGCTACGCACAACAAGCACACTTACAGGCGCATAAGCATATGCATAACAACAACAACAACAAAGCGCTGAAGGAGTAACTGCGTGCTCGTATGCGCTGCTCAGTATGGCCCGCAGCCACCCCCTTTGCAGCACACCTACATCGCTGCATACATGTGTACACGCATGGCTTATGCCTGCTGCGCGCATATGGAGCGAGCGTGTGTGTCGTGTGTGAACTCGCAGTCGCTGCGCCGCGCTTCGTTCAGTTCGGCACTGTGCTGTGACGTCGCTGGCGCACGAGCGCTGTTGATACTTCCTCTGCCGTGGCTGCTGTTGGTGTTGGCGTTTTTTGCGCTGCCGCCGCCGTCGTCGCCGCCGCCGCAGTCGCTTGTGCTGGTGTTTTGCTGTTGTCGTGTGTTACATTTGTGCATATTTTTTGGTAAATCACTTGAATTAGTCGTTTCGAAACAGTTGAACGGTTCAACACACGTCCACGCAAATAACTCTTTCACTTTGCTACATTTCGCTTTTTCAGCAAATGTCCTGTGTGTGATCGTTTATATATGATAGCAACGCATCATATTGGTAAGGCCGCCCTACAGGCCATACACACACACACACGCGCGCTCATACACCCACTAACGGTGGCACGCATATGTCGTCGGCTCTGCATTTGCCACATTCGCCTTTTGTCACTCTGTTAGTTTGGCAGCTTCTTCGCCTATCAGCTTGAACGGAAATTGTCCGTTAACAGTTGACAATTGCTGTTCGACTTGAAGTGCCCATAGTTTTTGCGGGCAATGTTGATTGACGCGTATTGAAGAAAAAATGTGATTTGAAGTTAAATTTATTGTGTGAAAAAATATAAATTAAAAAATTATTAATAAATAAAATGCTAGTAAACAAAAAAATCGGAACAAAACTCAGAAAAATAACATTTGGTAATTTTTTCAAAAGTGCTATATAATAATAATGAATAGATTGCAACATTTTACCATAAAATGAAACAAGTGAAAACATAGCAAAATGGAAATTTTTTGCCGCAGCCGAAAGTGTATAAATCATTTTTAAAACTAACTAAATGAAAACAAAAATTATTTTAAATGAAAAAAAAATTATAATGATTTAAAAATAAAAATAAAAATAAAAATAAAAACATTTAAAAATAACTTCGAAAATTTATATTTGAGTTTTAGAAAGCTTAAGACAAACAAGCGTCGCAGTTAAAATACATAAAGAATGCAATAAAATTATTATATTCTTAGCGAAAACTGCATTTTGGTGCGTTAAAGAAATAACCAAAACTTACAAAATGCAAAAGATAATAAAAATTTTGTTTTTAAATAATTACGAAAATAAATTTTGAATTTTCGAAAACTTAAGACATACGTCGAATACATATGCCTATATGTATGTTATCAAATCTATATAAACTATAAAATCAAATTTAAAAAAAAATTTTTTTAATATTTTCGAATATTAAATTTTAAGTTTTCCAAAATTTAAGGCATATGTGCGTCGAAGCTAATATACATAAACTATAAAAAAAATCAATATTATCTTAACTAACAGCGATAAATAAAAAGAAAAATTACAAACAAAAAATAACTGTTTAAAAGTTAGTTATGAAAACCAAGTGCTGTTATGCTAAACAACTGTTTGACCGAACTTCTAATACAATATTGGAAATGCGGCTTGATGTTTTCTAATTTAACACATTTTTATCAAAAGCATTTTCAACCATTATTTTAAAGCAATGCATAGAATTATGGCTAATACCGTTAGTTTTCTAGTTTTGTATTTGCAAATGACAGCTGCTTTGTAAAAGGATTTTGAAATACCGTTAGTTTTCTATTATTGTATTTCTAATAGACAGGTGTTTTGTGACATGTTTTGGAAGCTTAGATTGTCTGGCTGTTTTCACTAAAGTAAATGGAAAGAGTCAAAATTTGTTAAGCATACGAAAAGTTAAAAAAACGTGGAAATTTCAAAAAATTTCGAAAGTTTATTTAAAAAAATGTTCAAAACAATTTCAAAGATATGTTAAAAAATTTTTTTTTTGTAATTTAAAATAAATATTCAAAATTTTTTAAAAGCTTTTTTTAATTTTCATGCGTTTAATATTTATTTTGTTCTTCATAAAAAAAGTTCGTCTACTTAAAACGATGTAAAGAAATTTATAAATTAGAAGCCCCAAACCAAATTCTTCAAAAACACTCATAAATACTCAAATTTGCGCAGAAAACAATTCAATAGAAACATGAGAAAGACTAAGGCCAAAATAGCATAAATTAATTTCTTTCTTTTAAAATTTACAAAATGAAAATTATATAAAGTTTTTTGAGATTCAGAATTAATGACAGAATACTCTAAAAGGCGCTTGGATGAACTGATAAAAATAAACTCTCCAGTTACATAAGTCTTATTGAAAAATTTTAAAATTTTGAGTATTATTCAATTTTAGTTTAAGTTACATAAGTGTAGTGCACTTTTTTATATGAGAAATCGGAGAAAGTAATAAATGTATCACAAAAGTGAAACGCTCTTGAAGAAAGCATTTAATAATCATTTTACCAAAGGAATTTTTTGAATTTTGAAAATCAGCACTTTTTCAAATTATTTTGGGTTTTCCATTAAGATTTCAAAATTTTATCAGATATTGTTCAGTTATGTAGGAAATTGCCACTGTGAACTGTCAGCTTGTATGGCAGCTATATGCCAATTATAATCATCTGTAATCGACGGTTCCAACAAATGAGCAGCTTCTTAGTGAGAAAAGAATGTGTGCGAAGTTTCAGATTGATAGCTCAGAGAATGAAGCAAAAATCGAAACAAATTACAGAAAAACGGCAATGCTGTATTTTAATGCTGCAAAAACTCTTGTTCTTTCTTAATTATCCATCTTTTTTTCCTGTGAAGACCGCGCTTGCAATCTAATATCAAAAATATTTGGATCCAATTAAATTAATTACATTTAAAACACAAACATTCTGAGTCAGAATATTATTAACTAATATGGGATTCTTTGCGCGTATAATGAAAAAAGAAATTGGAATTATAGAAACTAGTTTCTGTACTGACTCAAGCGCTTAATAATATACAATAGATATAAATATATAAAAATTTAAAAATAATAATTAAAAATTATTATAATAATAATTAAAATTCATATGAAAGTGTAATACCAGTTGATTTCGGAGAGATCTCAATTTGACAGCAATTATGAAAGCACTTTACTTGCCACATCAATTGATTGCTTTATAAAAGGTATTCTATACCAGCTTTTATATCCTGAACAGCCACTGTCTGTATATACGCGAACTAGTTCTATAGTTAGTGAGATATCGAACTGAAATTTTGCATAGATTATTTTCTCCTCAAGAAGCTGCTCATTTGTGGAAACCGCCGATATCGAACCACTATAGCATATAGCTGCCATACAAACTCAACGTTCGGAATCAATTGCTTGTATGAAAAACTTTTGCATTTGACGAGATATTTTCATGAAATTTGGCATGGGTTCTTATCTAAAGTAGTAATGTAAATTCTTATCTAAAGTAGAAATTGTTCAGATCGCATCACTACAGCATATAGCTGCCATACAAACTGACCGATCCAACTCAAGTTCTCGTATGATAAACTTTTAAATTTGATGAGATATCCTCACGAAATTCGGCATGGGTTCTTATCTAAAGTAGTAATGCAATTTCCGAAGAAATTGTTCAGATCGCATCACTACAGCATATAGCTGCCATACAAACTCACCGATAAAAATAAAAAAAAAAATATTTTTAAACCGTTTTATGCCATAAAAAATGCTGCTGTGAAGGGTATTATTTTTACGATGCAGCCGAAGTTAACGTTTTTCTTGTTTTTTTTTATCGAGTACTTGATCTAAACCTATATACGAGTATTTTTGCTTAAGAAACAATAAATTGTTACATTTATTAGGTTAGATTAGGTTAGGTTGGGTTAGCTTAGGTTAGGTTACTCTGGTAGGCTCGTGACCCATGCATAAACAAGTTTTGATGCTTAACGATGCCAGATAGAGTGCCGTAGTTCTTAAAAAGTAGTCATACTTCAGTAAGCCAGCGCTTGACGCGAATTTCAATAGAATTGTGCTTCTTCACTAACGATACCTCTACCAGTGTCTCATATCATGGAGCCAAATTTATTAATAATTATAACAATAATTTTTAATTTGAAGAAATTTTTCATAAATTTTCATTTCGAAAATAGGTGTTAATAAAAAAAGATTTGTGGGTTTCTTTAAACGTAAAAATTTATTTAATAATTTTATACAATTTTCGTATTGATTGAGTAAAAACCGCAATCGATTTTTTAATCTATATAAATAAAATATCATGAAATTTCAATAAACTTCAAACAAATCTAAATATTTTACGGCTTAGTAGCAACAACGAAAACCACACACACATACGCCGCAACAAGTGGCTAGAAAATTTTATCTGTGTACGCGCAAAGACACAGGCCACTCAAAATAAATACTTGACTGCGAAATTCTATGAAAAAAAACTATTCTGACAAATATACATACCATACATATGTAGATATGTTTGATTTATTTAAATTATTGTTGCCGCAATTCCAAGAAGCCTAAACATACACACACACATGCGCTACACTTAACACACCTCGCCTTAAGGACACAACAAGTGCATGCATGAAGGCCAGCGCTTAATTACCGAGAGGTGTACTATTAAAATATTGATAGAAAAACATTCGCCAAACCAACTTAACGCTGAGACTCACGCTGCTCACACATGCAATCACTTGACAATTGACTTGTCAACGCACGCATATCGTTGGTTTGCCGCTGTTGGTCCACTGTTTTGCGCTCGGCGAACATAAGCAAATTACACGTGCATTATGCTTGCGCTGTGTGTCAGCAAACAGTAAACGAAAAGAGTATGAAACGCATGAAATATAAATTTATGCATGGCACCGCCTACAAATCATAAATGAACGGTAACACACACACAAACACAGCACAGCTAAGCGTCGTCTTCAATTTTTACCTGCCGAAATGCAACAAACACCCATACATACATACAAACTTACATATGTATGCATGCGCGCTGTGAGTTCACTTGTCAGCTTCTTGTTGCTCCTACTGTATGTGAGCCGATGCAGCTGTGCTGTGTTTGCCTTTCGCCACTCACATGTGATTGTTGCCATTCATCATGTTTATTTGCTGCTATGCCTACCGCGGCCTCAAGGATACTGCTTGGACGCATAGCTGTATATGTATGTGTATTCTCACTTACATGTTAGTAGTTGTAATTGTGTTTGTTTTCGGCCGACACTTGTCATAATTATGCTGTCGTCAGTGCTGTCGTGGTTGCGCGTCGCCGTGTCGCTCAGTGCCGAACTAACGTCACATGTGTACACGTATGCACTCCCACATGTGAGCGGCTTGAGTTGGAATTTTTTATTTATTTATATATTGTAAAACAAAAAATGCGCTTTGTTTTAGTGCCAAACGAATTTGAAGTGTTGAATAAAACATGCAGTCGCTTAATATGATATGATAAATAAAAACAAAAACAAAATGTGATATTCTAATATGAAAATACAACAAATTGTGCAATAATTAGCGAGTCCAGTTTACGAAATACGTCAGCAAGTGCTGTGCATAACAAATCAATGTGCGTGTGCAGTTATCGTAGCACACAGTGACGCTTTTAAGCTATAAAACATTCAAGCAAAGCAGTAAAATTACAGCCGTGCAAACTTTCGACGACTACATTTGTTGAATATTATTCACAGTAAGTGTACGATTAAGCCACAGCTTAAAAATTGATATTATATTAAACAAAAAAAAGTTTATACATAAATGTGTATCACACGATGTTTTCAAGTAGAAAAATTATTTTAGAAGAACTGCTTCACAATTTAGTAGATATTCTAGTCTAGAATCGTCTGTACGTCCGTCTGTATATACACGAACTAGTCCCTAACTTTTCGAGTACAATATCCGAACACAATTTTCAGTTCGTATCACTATAGCATATAGCTGCCACACAAACTGCCCCGATCAAATTCAATATAAAGATCATTTTGCACCCTTTTATGCTATCATCGGTGAAGGGCATTATAACTTCGGTCCAATCGAAGTTAACGTTTTTTCTTGTTTTTTTATGTATTATATATTTCAAGAGCACGAAAATACAAATTCAAAAAAAAAAAGGGAATTTTTCAAAAAGTTATGTCAGCGTTCTGGTCATTACGATTTCAGCCTTTGCGTTCAGCTGAGCAATAAAATAATGACGAAATATTGCTTACAAAAATTACATTTTCAAAGTTGGAAAAAAAGTTCATAAAATGGCAGCAACGCACACATAAAGTACGATTTTTCCAATACTTTTTTTTAAACATTTTTGAACTTTTGAAAATTATTATAATTTAAAAATTTTTAGTTTTTGTTAAATCATACGAAAAATCTTCATGCCAAATGTTAATTAAATCGACTTGAAAAGTTTATGTTCAGACTAAACCGTCCGCGTCGCGCCGACACTAAAATGTCTATAACTTTTGCATATTTGCAAAATAATTTGAAAAATTTCTTACGAAACATATTTTATTATTGGAAATTGCTAGACTAGAAAACCAGCAAAAAATTTAAAGTAAACAAATTTTATTTTATTTATAATTTGCTAATTAAAAGTCTAAAATGTGTGTGAATATCAACCAATGTCAAACCAAGTAAAATCTGCTTGCCATTTCTTGCTACACTTTTACTAGACAATCAGTTAGACTTCTATATCATAGTATCTTTATTTGGCATACATTTTGCTACAAGCGCGTAAGATTTTCGAAATATGTGCTTGAAAAACACAATTATAAAATTTTTGAAAATTTGTATAAAAAGCGAACAATTTCGTCAGTGTTATTATTTATGAGAATAGAAATTTCGAGAATTTTCTTAAAATTTTTTTTTATTGATTTGAATTCAGTTAATGTGAAAGCTATTATATAGATGTTTCAAAAAAAAGTCGCGAACTGCAGTTGGCACTGAGTAATTGATAAAGAAGAAGAGAAAATATGCTAAAGCGTCACCTTGATTTAATAAAATTCCGATTGTGGCCAAATTTTAATGAAACCAAGATCGTTGGTAAAAACCATGCAAAATTTAGAATGATGCAGCCAAATAGCAGCCAAGTTAACAAAAACTATAAGAATCACAAGATATATATTGTATTCGAACAAAAATTAACACATAATTGAAAAAAAAAATTATTCAAGTAATTGCCATTCAATTAGTACCAAATTTACTAAACATTATATGAAGTCATTTGAGTGCGGAGCAAATAGAGACAGTTCGAAAAATTTACCCCACAATCTATGTAGCTTTAGGTAGAAGAGTAAAGAGTCAAAGAATTAAATCTAATTTTACAACAAAATGTGCTTCAAATTGAGTAATGACAAAATTAATGGTGATAAATTCAAATCTTTGCAAATTTCCGATTTTTCTAATAAAGAAAATATTGTAAATAATTTTTTTGCTAGTTTAAATTAATTTATTTTGAAACATTTACTCTGAAAAAAGTAAGCATCACTGTGAAAAGTAACGAGATATCTATTTAAAATATTATATAATAATGCATAAGCTGTCTGTTAAGTTATTTTTAGTTTCAAACGCGATATAGAATAACACGGGCGCACTTATACCACGCGAGAGCCTACATCTATTGGAAAAACAATGAATTTATTTTTACTATACCTTATAACTTTAATATTATGTATTAATATCAATTGCGTCAATTAACTGTCTCATTTAGCTGTTTGAAGACAATAAATGTACATTACATAAAATTCAAGAATATTTGCGTTCATCAGAACTTTCCAACATCTTTTCCTAGTGTCTAATCACATAAGCATTATGTGTTATAGTTAATATTCTAATTTCCGCAAACTACCTGTAATATAATAATTATATAAGAGAGTGACTTAATTAAGTGACTTAATTGAGTAGCTTACTCGAGTAATTAATTATTAGTGAGACGTGAACTCGATCGTAGGCAGCTTATAATATCTGAGTACAGTAAGTGATTGTGATGTGAAAAACGGTTTTCATCAGTCATTTGCAGGAGGCAGGAACTAAAAAGATTTTTCATTTATTTCACACCAATCATAAATGAATAATCTTTTTATTTCACAGAGAGATCTCACAAAGATCATTAGTAAAATAACAACAAATATTAATAAAATATTAAATTTCAAAAATTCCCATTCAATATATTATATAGTATGGTACTTGATATTTTATAATTTAAGTCTAATCGCCATTATTACAATACTATCATGCCTTATGGATTAAACAGGCGCTTAAAAAACTATATATATTATAACATATATACGAACTAGTCGCTAAATTTTTGAGATAAAGAAGCTGCTCATTTGTCGGAACTGCCGATATCGAACTACTATAACATATAGCTGCCATACAAACTGAACGATCGGAATCAAGTGCTTGCATGGAAAACTTTTTCATTTGACAAACTGCCCGATCAAATACATATCCTTGTATAGAAAACTATTGCATTTGTCAAAATATCTTCACAAAATTTTGTACAGATTATTATCAAAGGTAACGGTATAATTTTCGAAGAAATTGTTCAGATCGGACTACTATAGCATATAGCTGCCATACAAACTGATCGATCAAAAAAAAAAACCTTGTATGCAAAGCTTTTTTATTTGACAAGATATCTTCACAAAATTTGGTGTAGATTATTTTCAAAAACAATGGTACAATCTCTAAAGAAATTATGCAAATCAAAATTAAGATAAAGATCATTTTATACACTTTTCTATTATGAAAAATGTACTTGTAAAGGGTATTATAGCATTGGTGCAGCCGAAGTTAACAGTTTTTTCTTGGTTTGAAAAAATTGTCCTTCTATCGAGGGCGTTATACCGATTATAGCGTTCGGATATGTGCATTAGGGTGTGCCGAAAAAAAACTAATATTGAATTTATGGTTTAAAATGTATGTACATACATAGAAAAAAACTTACTTTTAAAATGAAAGAATAAAAAAAAAATGTATGTGAAGAAGATGTTTTTAAGAAATGGTGCACTGCACAAGAATCCGCATTGCAAGAAATTTTATCACAAACGGTTGAAAAATCATGGCATTTCTAATGAATACACATTTTTCACGTGTTATTTGTATGGCTGACTTTCAATGCTCACCCACACATTTTAGGTATTAATTTTTTCTGTATTTATAGATTAATTTTAATACATAATTTTTTTATTTATTTTTGTGGCTCTTGCTAATATACAGGCATACATATTTTTTATATAGCATCCCATATTTCAGGCAGTGCCTTAATAAATGCATTCGGCAACTTAATATTGACTAAAACTTTAATGACTTCATTCCGTTACTAAAGCACACGAAAACTTCAACGAGGTCGCAAGATAGTGCAGACAAATTTAAATGAAAAGGTAAAAAGAAAAAAAATACAATAAATCAAAAACCGCATATACATATCTGCTATGGCAAAGTGTGTGTGGCGGCATATGTAATTATTTCTGCATTTAAAGTAAAACGCCAACTAATTGCACATTGTTGCAGCGAAGCGTAAGTATGTGGTAATGCCACTTCAATGTGCTTTCTGCTGTCTTTCCAAAAAAAAAAAAAAAAAAACCGCTGAAAAACCAAAAAATCCGCTCACATGCTCATACACATATCGCGTTGCAACTCGAAAGCTGCAGGCGCTGCGCTACTTAAAACGCCTGCTTTGCTATAGTTGTTGTTGTTGTTTGCACACTTTTATTTGCTTGTTTGTTTTTACAACCAATTTTCCTACTTTAAAAGTTTTTTTAGCTTTCTTTTTTGCATTTCCTGCATTTCCTACGGTTTGCGGCTGCTGCGCCGGCAAAGCAGTTTTCAACTTAGTACAAACTAACCAAACAGTCAAGAAATAAAAACAGTTATTTTACGCAATTTATTTTTTCTTAGTTTCAAGCGACGTGAGTAACGGTAGCTGTTTATCGCGACGCGGTAGTAATACTTGATTTTAGTAGGGTACAACACTTATTTGAAGCGCTTGAGACAGGCATAGGCAACACTAGTATATGTGCGCATGTGTATATATGAGTGTATGTGCTTGTGTAGAGTTACTTGCTTTTAAAGCAATATACAGTTTACTCTCAACTGTATGCAACTTATTTCCATTTCAAACATATCCTTGCACACCCTGCACGCAGCGCCGTGCTTGCCACATCAGTTTGATGAGCTGGCTGTTGCTTTGAATACAGCTTTCTTAAGGCAAGATTGCCCTAAAAAAAGTCATATACGCATGCATAGACACGTTGATTCTAATTAATTCATACATACGTCCTTGTGCACACACACACACTTATCTACAAAAAAATATACACAAACACACATATAAATATCTTAGCAGTTGTGTGTGAGTTGTATGTAGAAACAGGTAACTTTTAGTTGCGCTGCCGTTTACCTTTCGCATTCCGTTTTGCTTTAACAAGTGTATGTTTGCTCCAACAAAAAAATTCCAAAAAAAAAATAAAAAATAAAAAACAAAATAAAAAGTACTGAAACTGAGCGTAGAAAAAAGAACGCCGCCATCGTCAGTTGCGTGTTGTGCGAAGACAAAGTCAGGAAAGACAAATAAAACGCATACATCAGCTATTATCACACATTAGATTTGTGCGTACATGCGTGCATATATGTTTATATTTACATATATACACATATATGCGTATACAAAAAAGAAATCTTATGTCATTAAGACACAGTATGCTTAGCCGTATCCGCAAGGATATCCACAGCGGCACGTAGCTGAGATTGCAACTTTTGAATACTCACACTCGCATGTTGTTGTCCACAGACTTTGTGAGTGCGCTACTTGCGGCACAAAACGACTCTGGTGAATATTATGAAGTTAAAAAAATGTAAAAAAAGAGGCGCTTTTCTTATAGCATAAAAGTGTATACAAAATCGTTATATTTTTTTCAACAGTCAGCTTGTTTGACAGCTATGTGTTAAAGTTTTCCGATTTGAATAATTTTCTCAGCGATTGTAGTGTTATATTGGGCAATAACTCATGACGAATTTCGGTAAGATATTTTGTCAAATAAAAAAGTTGTTCATACAAGGACTTGATTTTGTTCATTCAGTTTGTATGACAGCTATATGCTATATTAGTTCGATTTGAACAATTTGCTTGACAGTTGTAGCGTTGCACTTAGCTGATAGTCTATGCAGAATTTTGTGAAAATATCTCGTAAAAAAAAAGTTTTTCATTTAAGGACTTGATTTTGATCGATTAGTTTGTATGGCAGCTATGTGCTATAGTGGTCCGATCTGAACAATTTCTAGGGAGGTTATAGCGCTGTCTTAGATAATAGTCTGTGCCAAATTAAGATAGTTTGTCAAATAAAAAAGTTTTCCATACAAGAGCTTGATTATGATCGGTGGGTTTGTACTACACTATAGCATATAAGTGGTCCGATATCGGCGGTTGCGACAACTGAGCAGCTTCATAGAAACAAAAAGACAAAATTTAATTTATATCTCAAAAATTTAGCGATTATTTTGCGAATATACAGTCACGTATGGCTAAATCGACTCAGCTCGCCATGCTGATCATATGGTATGTGTTTTATAGGGTCTCCGGCGTTTACTTCTGGGTGTTACAACCTTCGTAGCGAACATAATTTAGTCTGTTCAGGATATAAAGTAGTTAATTTTTTTTAAATTAGCACAATGATAATTTTTTCCCTAACTAACTTGAAAATATAGACACCAGTGCTTTCCTGGAATAGTATTCAGCAAAGCATAAAAAAAATATAAGGCCAAATTAATACGTTTAATAAAAAAAAAATACGCTGAAAATTAAATAAATCGGTATGTTACTCCACCTACTATCGAAAGTTATTGCAGTATAAAGCCGTAAATATCAGCTATATGCTCACTTTTTTTTATCAAAAGTGCGGTCATACCAAATTTAGACCCATTGTTAGATTATCAACGGAAATCGCAAGAGTATTAGCGCGCTTTTCGCCCTCTGCAGGTTTAGGCTATCCCTAATTATAGGTAGAAGCCCTACAATTAGTCGTTGTCCTCTTGGTATCCACACGATAAGGTTAAGAATCTTAGAAGATGAGGTAGAAAAATCTCAACACTGTCTTCTTGATTGCGCCGCATTTGAGAAGTCTACGGATGTGATATACGCAGTGCTTCAGACACGATGAAACAACGCGGATCTCGAACGCGGAACTTAGACTTCGAGCTGAGTTGGTGGGAACAGATATAAAATGCCCAAGCAGATAATTGACACAAGGCGTTTTTTCGATACTTAAAATCCACTCACTGGAGTTCCTTATATGGCTTCACAAAGGACTGATCGTAATCTGTCCAAGCGCGATCTTCTCTTGAGATCAGTTATATAGGCTAAACTAAAAAAAAAACTTGCGAATTGTTTTGACATTTCAGAAGTGAAGAATATATATTATATTGTAATATATTCTAACGTACCTTGTTATTAAAGGCAATTTACTGCTATAGTGTCTCGCACAGTCGTCAATGCTGGAACGATATTCTCACCTGTTTGGTTGCTCGGATTTTTCTATGTATTGTATGTGACATACTGTGAAATATTCGGCTGTGACAGCAAAATGAAGATATTAAAATGATATATGCCGAAACTCATTAACATATTATCACACATAGCATATGTCATGAATACTTTAAGACGTGTAGAACGCACTCACGCACAGTCTTAAGCAAATATTCATAGACTCCTTATCCACACTTCTATGCGTGCTAGATAGATATGTAACGTGGCGCATATCCTTAGGCATTACAGGCATTGTCTTATACATTGTTCCATGCTATGCGTGGTGTGAGAAAAAATATTTAAATAAGTAAAAAACATATACGCAACATTTTGCATGCCTTATTAAAAAAAAAACAACGTTAATAAAATGCGTACGACTCAAGCTTATCTTGTGTTCTTATCTCATTGCAGACACAACGAGTGATTCAAATTCCCATACAAAATCGGGCGACAGCAGTCGACTAGACTAGACAGCAGGCATGGAAGTGCTGGGAGGAAGCGAAAGCCAGCTGTAAAGTAAACAGAGACAGCGCAAACGAAATTCAAACAAAAACATATACAAACAACAACAAAAAGCAACAACAGCAACAGCAAACAAAAGCTGAAAGGAGGCTCATACGATTTTTTTCGCATTGTGTGGCAGCAACGTGTTGGCGTAACACATAAGACAACCACACACACACATACACACAACGTCTTTGGTGTATTTGACATCTCAAAAAGCATTGATTTTTCTGACTTTTCTGACTGAATGTTAACGGAGCCGTTGCACATGGTTAAACGACGAAAATTGTCATTGTCACAAACGCAGAGCACCGCCTCGCTAACCGCAACAACTACCAAAACAACAACGACAGCGCCCATGGACAGCGCGGCAGTTGCGACCACAACGCCGCCGAACACACCGCCCACACCACCGCCGCTCAACATGATGATGACCACAGCACGTAATCACAATACACAAAACAACACTAACGGCGACAATGGCAGCGGCAGTGTTGACAACGGCAAAGACTGCAATATGGAGCACAACAACACAACGTGTACTTTGATAAGCGCCAGCAACGCACCCACGCTCACCACTACCGCCATGGCCGGCGCCTTATTGAGCACCAGCCAGCACACAGCCGCCACGAATAGCGCCACAGCAGCTGCTGTTGCCGCGGCGGCAGCCGCTGCGGTGGCTGCGGTGACAGCTGCAGGCGCCAATGTCTCACCAACAAACGTGCTGACTCCCAGTAATGCTAACGCCAGCGCTGCAAACAACAGTGGTGCTGTGCCAGATCACTATAGCCTGCGCTGGAACAACCATCAAAATCATATATTGCGCGCATTCGATGCGCTCTTGCAGACCAAGACGCTGGTGGATGTGACGCTGGTGTGCGCCGAGACGAGCATACATGCGCACAAAATGGTGCTATCGGCGTGTTCGCCCTTCTTTCAACGCGTCTTCGCTGAAACGCCGTGCAAGCATCCGGTCATTGTGTTGAAGGACTTTCAGGGCTGGGTGGTGCAAGCGATCGTGGATTTTATGTATCGCGGCGAGATCAGTGTGCCACAGGAACGACTGCAAACCTTAATACAAGCCGGCGAGTCACTGCAGGTGCGCGGTTTGGTAGAAAGTTCGGTGCCAGAGCACACACCCACACCGGCTGCTTCGCCGGATGATTTCGGCATGATCGATACATCGTTGATGTCGCCCGAGCTGGAGCGCTGCTCGAGCTTCGATGATGAATCGCCGTCAATGGTAACAGCTGGCTCAAAAGTTATATTGCCATCGCGGCTATTTGGCGCGTCCGCGCGTCGAGAGCGTGAACGTGAACGCAAGCGTGAGCGCGCACTCGAACGCGAATTGGAACGTGAAGCCGAAAGTGATCAGGACCTGCCACTTGATACGAGTATTAATTCAGATGTTTGCACGTCGCCTATGCCAAGACGTAAACAGGCACGTCCACGTCGTCGCTCCGGTGAGCTGACACTCGAAATGTTAAACGAACCAGCTACGTCTGCAACCGTAGAAGAACCGCCACGTAAACAACCCCTGCCTTTAACACTGGATGAGAAGTTGGAGCAGGCTCACGCAGAGCACTTAGAGGCTTTGAAAACTGTGATCAAAACTGAGCTGGCCGAACCGATGGATGAGAACGAGGGTGCTCGGCGCGATGACAGCGGCAATGGCAATGATAGTCAAGCGCACGACGAATCACATGAAAAGTCCACAAACGCTTATCAGTCGAATGCAGATCAGCAGCATAATTCACGCACAGATGAAACACTTTCGCCAGCACCATTGAATGCGTCGCACTCCATGGACGTCGAAGAGGAAGAACAAGACGATGAAAATGATAACGAACTTGACAATGATAATGATAATGAAGTAATACCAGATGCTGAGGATATCGAAGAACTTATTAATGCCACCAATGAGCTGCGCCGCAAGTCGTTATCAAATCTCTCGGACGGTCCCGAAGATCTCTGCACAACGAAGAAAGCTCAAAATACTGTAAATGGCAGTCACTCGGCCTCTGACGCCGATAGTAGTCCGACGAATAATAATAATAATAACAATAATAAACTTAACAATAACAATCGCATTGTATTATCTCTCAAAGATATACGGCAACTAAATAAACCGTCATCCTCCTCCACACCGAATTCATCGAATAACATGCACCCTTTTGCGACGGCCAGCCTACGCGATCTGCGACTGGATCGTGCCGTCAGCTCCGCAGCCGAAAATCAATGCAAAATGGACGCGCTAGAAGCGCAAATGCATGCCGCCGCAGCAGCCGCCGCGGTAGCTGCAGCCAATGGCGAGAATCCATTCCAACATATGGAACATCAGATGGATCTGTCGCTGGCTGCCGCCGCAGCAGCCGCCGCTGTCTCACATCAACAATCGCGCGAACGTGATCAGGCACTACAGCGGGAACAACGTGAATTACAAGAACAACATAATGCTTATGCGAATAGCATACTTGGGCAAATGGGTATGTCTGGCATGCCGCCTTTTGGCGGACCAGGTGGACCAGCACCACATGAACGTCTCGAGGAGAGTATGAATCGATTGAGCAAAGAATTTGCGCCAAGTTCACCTATGAGTCTGCCCACACACTTCAATCCACCTGATGGACCGCCACATCCACCCTCTCCTTTACCATTTCCGGGTATGTCTTCGGCGCTAACGCTGACGCCGCCGCACAGTAAGTACTTATGTATATAGATAGTGTAGATATAGAATGTTTTAATTAGTGTAAATATCTATATATGTTAGTTAAGCTTTTAAGTTTCCAAAACTCAAAACTATTCCACAAATCATTTCTCAAGATCAAATTTTTTAGCATAATTTCACAAAAGCAGCTTTACGAGGACAAAGAAGAGGTATGAGTGGCGTCGAGCAATGCTTCTATTATAGAAAATCGGTCATAAATCCAACTAGGCTTTCAAAGACGACTTGAAACCTGTAAGTTCTTCACTTTATCGTTATTAATTTGTCGGAGGAAAAGCTTGGTCACGCAGCTGCCTAAGATTGGGAAAGGGTTTAACTGTAATCCAAAATGAATATTTGATCTTTTATTGGATACTGAACGCGCATTAGCATATTATTTACCTCGGTTTAGGGGGCCACTTAATGCTTTGAAGATATTTAAGTCTCGCTGTATAAATCAGCAGACACAATTTTCATACTTTCCTGCTGATTGGTACTTCTTTCAAGCACTTGATTTCATTTTCTCCTAACAAGAGGAGCCGTCAAAGTCAATTGACAAAAACAAAGAACTGCATATGCAACAAGTTATATAAGTGTTGATCCTTCTAGAGGCGCAATAACACGGTGAAGTACTGAAAGTACACAACAAGTGTATGAAAACAAGCGGAAATCCTTGATAATCAAATACGCCGACTTGCGCCTAACGTATGAGCAGATATATGGTGTTGGACTGGCAGCTCGTTTCCATGCCGTTGAGCGCAACTCCGCCAATGGTTTTCCTTCATATGCACATAACCTTTCCGCATGCTGAACTCATACGCCCATAATGCGCTGCTGCGAGAAGGATACCAGAAAAAATTATGCAACATCCTGTTGCATGGACTGCTGCTGTGCAACCCAACACATTTTAAGCACACCACACACTCAACGCCTTCCTGCACCACCGGTAGTGAAGCACGTAACTCATAGGCAACGCCGCATATCTTCTACAATTTTTTTTTTTTTATTTTTTATGACTTCTATTGCAACATATTTGCTTTGACAGTACGCTTGACATTTGCGTTTGCATTTGAGTGCTTAACACACTTTCTGTCAACTTTACGCGCTTTGACAAGGACTCGTGCACACAAACGGAACACCAAGTAGCGGGTGTGGTGCCCCTAACGGCGGCATTGCAGCGTTGAAGTGACTTTTAATAGCATTGCTGTTGCTTGCTACAAACGGGAATTATGCTTTAGCTCTTTGCCATAATGTTTACTTTGATGACTGCCACATGTTGCATGCATCATCGTGTTGTGTATGTCTACATAGCGCCTTAGGGAGCGAAAGCGCATTAATGTTATATTATATTTCTTTTAACTTCTTCTAATGTGTCAATAAGCTTAAAAAGGTGCAGCTCCCGTGACAAGCTTTGTGGCATAAATTATATATATATATGTGCCTATATGTGTGTGGTTAACTGCATTGAAATCGAATTATTGGCAATTATGAACACTTCAGTTAAGGCAAATTGTTGCAGCTGTTTGTGGCATAAGACAGTAGGGACAAGTGCGTGGGAGACGATTGTAAAGAAGATATTTGTTAAGAATTACATAGATTAACTGCAATTGCTCTCAAGCAGAATCGTCGGTTATTAACTAAATATTGATGAAATGATGGAACACATAAAAAAATTAATTATATAAGGAACACTCTGCTGGATTATGAGATACTTGCTCTCTCAGCAATATGCCGCAGATTCGTTACACTTCTGATAGGATCTATTTATTTTACTAAACGCCTATGCACTTAGAATCGAACCCAATATGAATATTCGAAACACTTGGAAATGACTTTATATCAGTAATAATTTGCCATAACACATGTTCGCTCAAAGCAAGTCTTCCAACATCCATCACTCTACAGCTCAATGCCATATATCGAAACAAGAAGCCAGTTAGAATCGAGTTTAGAAGAAACTTCTACAACAACTTTATAAGTATAACAGATCGCAAATTTTTTCCGGTAGTTTCAAACTCAACGATCTTCTCTTTTAGTGAAAATCGTAGACCATTTACTTGTCAAAGTCTTGAGTCATAGATTATGACAGTTATTCTGAAAGTAAATTTATAAAAAAGCAGCCGATCCGTAACGGTCGTTGAAAGAAGCCGCTCCCCACATAATTTTGATAATAGTAATGTTGTGGTTGTAGCGGCAGAAACAACCCTGAAGTAAGTTGGAGGAATGCTGCCGAGCTGACAATTCTTGGCTGAATACAAAACGTGGTGCGTTGAGGTTACGTAGACCCGGCTGTCTTAGGAACGTTACGATTCGGTGCTACCGAGGCGACAATCTTTAGTAAAACGAAAATCTGAGTACGTAGACCCGACTGTTTTGGGAACGGTACTATTCGCTGCTGTCGAGGCGAGAGTCTTTGGTCGAACGTAAAACCGAGTACGTTCCATTTACGTAGACCCGACTGTTTGTTAAAACAATCAACCAGGGATGGATAGACCCAATGTTTAGACAGTTGCAACAAAAATTTGTTTCAAGACTTCAACAACACCTCAAATATTTAGGTAAAGCAGATTTTTTATTTTGGTATTTTTGGTCTATTTTTTTTACTCAAATCAAAAATTGAATCGGCCGAATTTATATATTACTTCTATGATCCTGATGTATTGGATATATTTGCTATATTAAAAGAATATATGTATATAGCAGCACTTTGACCTAAACTATTATGGAAGGCACTAACACCTTTTTTTTCCCGTCACCATAGCTGAAAGAAATCTTTATACTCTAAATTGATCAAAAGCTTTCAATTACTTAATAGTGTCCTAGCCGGTGTGAGCTTAAGAATTTTACCTGATGCCAGCTGTAGAAGCTGCTTGGCAGTAGCCGAGGTAGAAACATTCCTCAAAATTCCATCTTGAGTGTCCCGCATGTGTGAGATTAAGGCTTAAACAACTGTGCGCTCACACTTTCAGACAAACCAGTGAACTGGCGTAAATGGAAGTAAAACGCCTGAGCATATTTATGATTAGTATTTTTCGACGATGTGATTACTGGAGCTCTAATTACTGGCTTCGCAAAGGATTATGAAGAATTTAGGAAGGACTTAGATAGGATTTAGCGATCCCCATCTGCAGGATTAGATATTAAATTGAACCTAACCCAACACCTAGCCTTGAGTTATATCTGTGCGATATTGATGCCTTATAAGATAATCTAAAGAAAACGGTATAAAATGGCAGAGGAGTCTTTATACCATGTGTCTAGAGCTCATTAAGCAATGCCATAGAGGTTTCTATAGATCTAACAGAAAAGCGCGTTGTTTTAAATCACAAGCTTAAATAGGCCTTAAAGCGAATTGCGCAATATCCATTTAAAAAGTTCGCCAGACACCATTTGTCGGGTGATGACTCTGATAATATAGAGCGCTTCTACTCAGATCACCAAGTGAAACCATTCAACTCACACACATTTCTTTGGCCAACTTCAAATTTTTGATACCACCTGACCTATGCAACATATTTAACATTATGCTGAACATTAAGACAGCTAATCAATTTAATTGATTATTATACATTTGCCGCAATCACGTGACCCAAGTGTCACACACACATATGCCACCATAAAACATACCAAACGTTATACAATATATGAAACTGCCAAGGACAAAGTCTCAGCGAACAATAAGCACAGCTTTAGGCGCCAGCAACGATGGCGCTGTGGCAGAAGTTTGCGCCACCAGCATCCTCAGCCACCACCTACGATTTGCCTAACCGTCCAAAGCAGCCGACTTGTAAACAATGGAAATTATAATTCTATTAAGATTTTACGCTCGAAGTATTTTGCTACACATGCGCTCGAAACAAATGAAGCGCTGGCGATGACGGAAGTGAAAAGTGGAAAAATAGAAAAAAGGAAAACGGAAAAAAGCAAAAAAGAAAACGTCGTAAGAAAAAACATTGTAACGAAGGAGTGACTGGCGCAGCATGCAACGCTATATGAATCTGTGCAACATTGTCGACAAACGACGCAAGTCGTAGGACAGCACGGCTGTGTGTGGATATGTGCAGCGGGCGGCAAGGCGCGCGAATAGCGGCGCATAATATTGACATTCCACTGAATGATTTCATAAGACTGACTTATGCAAATACGCGCAACTATTCAACACATATATAGATATACTCAAGTTAACACATGTATACATATATGTATGTATATATGTATGTGTGCAAATAGCAACGAAACACTTCAGCAGTCGGTGCGTAAGAGCGGAGTCTGAGCTGCCTGAGATGTGGACGAGCCAAGACACAGCCATTCAAATGCGAAACAAAAGCTTATGAAAATCGCTTACAAATAGGCGTGGCGCAGGCGGTGTTGGTAGCGGGGCATACGGTTAACAGCAGCACCAAGACATTGCAGACGCTCTCAGCTGAAGTGGTGCATTCATTGATGCCGAAACATATGAATATATGAGATGTGTGACTGCTTGACTATAGCGGCAGGATATATGTAATCATTGCCGATACACGAAAAGTATGAGTAGCGCGTACACATTGTAGCCGCGCGCATTAAGTAGATGAAGACTTTTGTTACAACAATGCAAGAATGCCATAGAAAATCGAGTGATGAGCGCTTAAGCGCTAAGGATAAGCACTCGAGCAATGACGGTAATCATTTTTTTGTGCAGAATTTTTGAAGAGTGGCGGCTGAGGGACGCATTTCTTTCAAATAAATGAAAGCCTCGAAAAAAGCGGAAAGAAAAAGGAAGGCACGTAAGAAAAATTTGGTAGGAACGGAAGTGAAATGCCGCAAAGCGTATAACACAAAGGCGCACACACATGCACATACACGCGCAAATATATATGTACATATGCTGAAGTAGATTAAGACATATACACGCGTGTAAGCCTGCCTAGCGCAGCAGCGCGTTTTGATTTTCTTACGGTACACTTAATGCGTCACAAATGCAATCAGCCAGGCAGAAGGATATGTGTGTTTGCA